ACTCAAAGGAAGGAAAATAACTAAAAGGGGGTTGCCCTGCCCCCCCACCCCCCTTCCGGATCCAAATTAAGTTTCTGTAGCAGAAATAGCAAGTTTGGTGTATGCCTCGGTAACCTCCCCACCACCACCACCACGTGTGGAAATAAATACTTGCTCATGGCATGTGTCCAGGCCCTGGTATTAAACTTTTTGACGCCCTTATTCAAAACACACCCCAGATTTTAGGAGATCTTTTTGGAAAATCCTATTCCCGTTCATCTTTCTGTTGTGAGGACAGATCGGAGTCGGGTCTTTCAAAATCTCCACGGGGCTATTTCACTTTGGGCTGCCATTGAACTAATGCCTTTGGTAGATTGAATTAAAGAAGGGGGAGAAGCGCTAGCATCCCTGCCAAATGTGGCTGGAGCCGAAGTTCTGGCACGGGAGCATGACGAACCCTCTCCAGCTCTTTCTTCCCTGCAGCTTGGGGCTGGGGAAGGGAGCAGGATGGCCTCGCCGGCTGGCTGTGGCAGGGAACGTCATGCAGCCCAGCCAGCAGCTCTGGCCTGAGGCCTCGCCGATGTCCTTGAGGGGTCCGTTCATCCAGCCTGCACCACCCAGTTGAGTTTATCCATTATCTTTTCCCTTCGCTCAAGGCACTATTGAAGAGCTGCTGGCTAAAAGAGTGGGATTTAAGGTAGAGGAGGGAGAGGGAGACAACAAAAAAGGGTCCGCTTTGCAAGAAGCATCCCATGAACGTATGTAGCGAGGCTGCCAGATCTGAGGGACACCTACCCTTGAGCTGTGCTCAGGGTAGCCTGTGCTAACTTCTAGCTGTGGTTCTGAAAACTTTGGGTGTCTTGGCTCTTGTTTTAACTCTCCCCTGACTGCCAAAGGGCAGGTTCAGTAGTAAGCTCTGCAATATCTAGCACAGAGATTGCCTCTCGTCCTAGCACAGGCCCCAGGCGGTTTGTGTGACAGCTGCCCCGTGACCCCGTTATTTATTAACGGGGAAACAAAGGACCCCAGAATCACCACGACAAACTGATTCAGCCGAACCCACAGCGTGGGGTGGGAAGGTATAAAATGTCTAAATCTGTCATGCACGGACCTCCCCATATGCTATTCCAAGGGCAGTAGGACCCAGGTGGAGCCTCCTTTTCCCACCCCCATCTCCTGGGGAGAGGAGCCAGCCACCGGCTCTGGCCAGGGGAGCAGCTGCTGCAGCAGATCAGGGACCCCCATGCACATAGTGACTTTGCTGCAGCTTGTGAGCCAGCGTCCCCCACCGCCGCCCCTTGGTCCCTGGCCACCTCCTCTCTCCTGCCCCGTCCCCTCCCCCCCCCCTTTGCATCGCTCCTGCTCTGCTCCGCTTTCTGCCGCTGCCTCTGGAGCGTGCCCTTTCTGCTCCCCAGAGCCACCAGTCTGTAAGGCAGGTCCCTGGTTCATCCTTCATCTTACATCCTCTGTGCCCCAGCTTGCACCCCTGTAGGCAAGGGACCCTGCTGCCCCAGCCAGCATGGCCGGGTGGGCTGGGAGCGCTTTTGCTGGACACAGTGGCAAAGTCTGGCACCAAAACCACCACTGGGGCACTGTGGGCTCGCTGACACAGACGGAAGACTTCCAGCTTGCTTCCAAATAGACTATTTTGTTGGGTTTGGCTTTTTTTTTTTTATGGTTTTCTACCCCAGTTGCCAACCAAGTCATCTTCAAAAATTCAAGAGCAGCTGGAGAGTGAAAATTAAGTTTCCTTCTTACCCTAAGGAGTCATATGGCAATTGGTCTATGGTTGCTAGCAATGGATTATTTAAGAAACTCTTCTCTTTAGCAGTAAACACATGCGTTCCCCTAGCCCTGGCCTTGCTGGACAGGGAGGACTGCCTCTGTGCTGGAGGAGGTGCTGTCACGCTGGGGTGTGAGGAAGGCATGAGGAGCGCTTGCTCCATCTACGGGAACAGCCCAGTGTCTAAATGCTGGGCTTTGGGGAGGCTTGGGTTTCAGCAGCTTCCTTAGGGTTGCGTTCCCCTTAAATAGCGTTGCGAGCCATGCGGGCAGTGTTTTGGCTTGTTTTTTTAAGTGCAGAGAAGATGTTTGGGCTGGGTTCTGTTTTGGTTTTTTTAGGAAAAAAAATCTTGTCCTGATTCTGATTACAGGATTTATGAGCACACATATTTAGACATAGATGCCCCGCTATTATCCATATGAATGTGGGGCTTAAGAAGAAGAGATGCCATTTCCACTCAAATTCAGCAGAAACCAACCTACCTTATGAGACATGTATCGTTCCCCATCCCTGGATGGAACTGCTGCCTACCCCAGGAACATTTACATTCACAGCAGTAATGGGAACCTGATCTGGAATTCCCGTTGTTTGTAACGTTCATACATACATCCTCTTTTTCAGTCAAGAAGTTAACATAAACTTTTTTTCTTAACGCAGGGAAGACAGACCCCACACCTCCCTCCAAGGGAAGGAAGATGGATATAGTGTCAGGCTCAATTAGATCCAATTGTGGTGGTTTTCCCTAAAGTGAACAATGCAGCTTTTGTGATGGGTGCCCAGCAGAAAGCTTGGAAATCTTGGAAAAAGGGGAGGAAAAACCAACACACGCCCCAAAGTCCAAACCTTGAGACAGTCCAGGTCCCCTGCATGCGGAGGAGATAGCGTTTCTTTTTATGAGGTCCAACGTTGGGCGCTATTTTCCCCTTTGAAATGTGGCACGGACATAAAAGGGGTGCGGTGGTTAGAGCTGGCAACAAAGAAGTACGCCCAGTCCAGCCTCAACCAAAAATACCTGTGGAGGCAGAGGCTAAGCACCCAGGGCAGGCCGGCCCCAGACATGGAGGGGACCTCCTTTGGGTCGGGCATCCGACCCACCTGGAGCAAGCACCACAGCCAGGGCTGCTGGAGCAGGGTAGCGCGGGAGGAACAAAGTGGCCTGCTCAGCGCTGGAAGTGCTTAAAATGCAAATGTACAGGAACTTCAGACCATCCCCCTCCCTCCTCCTCGAGAGGAGGAAAGCAGCTTAAATACAGCCAGGCCTGGAGAGGAATGTTAAAAAGAGGGGAAGAATCGCCCTCCTCCTTTCCATAGGGACCCGGGCCCGGCTGGATTGAGTATGCATGACTGAGCAAGCAAGCAAGGACAGCTCCTCTTTTAACTTTCCTGAACAATGGCTCCGGCTTCTTCCACCATTTCGCATTCCCCTTCCTGGAAGGGGGCAGCGGGGTGAGTGAGCCCCGCCGCTGGGCTGGGGGTGAGACGGGCTTTGTCGCTGCCCTATAAACACTGCTTAAGCTCCAGCGCCAACAACAATAAAAACCCCGCATCATGGAAGGCTAAAAAGGGACCCCGTCGGGTTAAAAGTCATACGTTGAAGAGAAAGATTACGGTGTAGGACAAAGGACACCTTAGATTAGCCAAACTTTTTTTTTTTTTTAACATTCCCACTTTACTTCCTCTTCAGTCTTAGCCCGGGCAGTGGAAACCAACCAAGACATTTTGGATTTCCCAGGTCCTTGTGCGCCAGTGAGGGCGCCGTTTTTGGTAGTTGTCACTGCTGGGCAATGTTTTTATTTGATGGGTCTTCCCCCCAGGGTGGGCCTCAATTTAAGTAAAGCACAAAAAGCTCTACCATCTACCTGGAGCTTTAAAAAATTAACAAACGTGGCCCTTCTTGTCCTCTCTCCCAAACATCTTCCTCTACCACTGAATACTCGATTCACTTGCTAGCAAGCTTCAGCACTTTTTGGTTTGTCTGACCTCAGACTGAGCCGACACCTCACACCAATGGGCAGCCGAACTCGGTTTCTCCCAACAGATGCTGCGAGCGCCTTCGCAGACAAGGCTGGTCCTACCAAACCCCTTCCTTACAAACTTTTCGCCATGATGTTACTCAACATCCTGCGCAGGAGGCACCAGGCTCCCTTCCTTCCTTCTCCTCCTCCGTCGCTCACTGGAACAAGAGCGAGCAGCCCCAAACCCCTGGCATGAGCCACGCAGCAAACCCCATGCGTAGAGAGGTCGATACCTGTCTTTAAAAAGCACAGACAACACAGATACTGCTTTTTTTTTTTTTTTTCAAAAACATACTTCATATTTCCTCTTTTATTATATAAATATGTTTAACCTTTTACTGTAAGAATATAAAATGTTTTAAGAGGATCTTTGTTATTTTTTTTTTATACAAATTCACAAACAGTACAATTAATCCATAGGGGTCTCTGGGTTTGTGTTAACTCCGTGGTCTGGCCTGTTACTGTGGAGGATTTGATATTTTGAACAGATGAGAAAAAAAAGCCAAGATATTTTTCTTTAAAAAAAACAAACAAACAAAATCAAAACTTCCTCTTTAAAATAATAATTAAAAAAAAAAAATCTAAGGACCCAGCTCCATTTTATTGACAGAACAGAGATAAGACAGATGAACTTCAGTCTCCTCCCCTTCACGTTGCAGCCTCAGGGCCTGCAGGCCAGCTCTTCCCCTCTCCACCTACAAACAGGAAACCTCGCATAGTGACCTTTTGTAGGTGATTTGGGAGGGGAGGGGAAAGCATTTGCATATATCTATATATATAATTTTTTTTTTAATAAACCAACTTGCATTTTACACATTTCTGTTAACAGTAGCCCAATCCTCAGCGTGGATTCTCATGTTACATGTTTGTGCTAGAAAAGTAAAAATGCAGAAGCACAGTTTGGGTCCCCAGTCCCCAGTGAAGAGGGAGGGAGAGGCACAACCAGAATGTGAAGGTGGGACACAATAGGGCAAGCTTAAAAACAAAACAAAACAAGAAAACGAGGGGGGGGGGGGGGGAGGCAGGGAGAAAAAGAACAAACCCAAGGGGCATTATTCCAGTCTAGGCACAAAAATGTTTCAGTCTCAAAATCTCTTTCCTGTAAGAATTTCAGGGCTTTTGAGGAGGAAAAAAAAAAAAAGAAGAAAAAAAAAACCAAACAAATTAAAACGAGGTAGCCAGACATCATATATATATTTATATATATAGAATATATTCAGCAGAAAAAAAATGTACTTAAAAATCCACAAGAACAGCAACTTCAAATGTCTTTAAAAATAAAACCGTGTAAGAAAATGAATACTGTAAAGAGAAGAATGAGTGAGGAAAACTGGGATCAGTTACAGGACGTAAGCAAGGGATAGATGGGAGAGTAAGAGGCTGTTTTTGTAGCAGTAATTTTTTTTATGCATTTCAAAATAAAAACAGGTCACAGTATCTCAAATGAAGCAGAAATGAAGCTGGAGATTCTTCCTCAAGTCCCCTGGGTAGAGGGGAGCTAGCCACCCCTTCTACCCGCTCACCCCCCGACCCAAAGAGGAAGGGATATGTAGCTGGATATGTCTATCCCTGTTGCCAAGAAGAAAGAGGGGAGAAAAAGAGAGAATGATGAAAGGGAAGACGAGCCTCAGTAACTCTCAGTGTCCCCCAGTGCACGGGAAGGCTTAAGAGACTGGGGTCTGTGTCCAGTCCCCGCAGAGACGGGAAAAGGAGGAAATGGTTACCTTCATCTCCACTAGAGAGATGGGGGGAGAGAATGGAGTGCCTAGGCTTTGCCGTTAACACAGTGCAGGGTGACACGGAAACGTACTGACAAAAGGAGAGGCTGTAGCTATCCCTAGTCTCAGTGCAGTGGAGAACTGGAATAGTGGGAGGTTGTATCCACCCACAGCAGAGAATAACATGGAACCGGAGATTGAAAACAGATTTTAAAAAAAAAAAAAAAAAAAAAAAAAAAAAAAAAATCAATGTACCTAGGGAGCAGTATTTCTGTCACAATTCCCAGTTGACAGGGGAGGAGCAAGCGCAGAGGTGGAATGGTTATTTTATCAAAAGCTGTGTCTGTGCCCAGCGCAGGATGACTGGGTGGTCGGGTACGTAAGTGTAGCTAGGAAGCCTTTTCTGCTGTTGTTATTGTTTGTTCCCATCTCCATTCCCACTCTCCTTTACATAAACCAAAAATAAGCTATTCTGAATACATGGCAGAACAAGGGTCTTTCTTTATCCATCCTTAGTGCACGAGGGGATGGAATCAGGGAGTGGGGATAAAGAGGGGTGTCTCTAGCCCCAGTGCATAAGAGTGTGGGCTTCTACCTCTTCCACAGGGAAGGATGCTGTGGGGGAAGGGGGAGCTCTGTCTCCCCAGCATGGAGCTGGAGGCATGACCTGGAAAAAGGATAGGTGCTTTCTCTCTCTCTCCTCCTGCCCCCCCGCCCCCTTCCTCCTCTTCCTCCAGAGCAAAGGTAGGTAGGCAGCACAGAAGGGTTGAGGATATACTCTCTCTGTTCCTCCCTCCGGTGCCAGGGTGCGTGGGTAGCATGGCTCTGTGCGTGCCCCTCTCTCTCTTTCTCTCCTCCATTGCAGCAGTCAGTCAGTCAGTCAGTGAGTCCCTCCAGAGGAGACGGAGGTCTCGGGGTGCCCCCCTCCTCTCACCTGACCTTCTCGCTCTCAGTCATTTCCCAAAGTCCCAGGTTGAGCACCTTGAGGCAGGGCAGCTGGGTGATGCGCTCCAAGCCCCGCTTGGTAATGCGGGTGCAGCCATAGAGATCGATGCCTGTGAGCTGGCTGAGGTGTTCGGCGATGAGCTCCAGCCCCTTGTCAGTGATGCGGACACACTGGCCGATGTTAAGGGTGCGGAGCCCGTGCATCTGCCGCACCATGCGGTTGATGCCCTCGTCGCTAATGTGGCAGGGGCAGAGGGAGAGGGACCGCAGCCCGTCCAGGCCCTGTGCGATATAGGCTAGGCTCTGGTCCCCCACCTTGTCGCAGAAGGAGACGTCGAGGCCGGACAGCCGCAGGCTGCCCATGGCCAGATGCATGATGCCCGTGTCGCTGATGTTGTCGCAGGAGCGCAGGTTGAGGCTGCGCAGGCTGCTCATGTGCGACAGGTGCAGCAGCCCCGCGTCCGGGATGCCCCCGCCGCAGCTGAGGTTGAGCTGGCGGAGGCGGCCCAGCCCCCCGGCCCGGGGACTGAGCGAG